CTTGTAACAAGAAATCACCATGGTCAATACTTAAAGATCAATGTATCATTTGGCTTAATTAATTAAAACCACATCTGCTGCTTCAACTTCTCATAAACTGGATGAGGTCACTGGACATATATCAGTGAGAAAATCTGTACCATGCATTACCAGTTACCAGGTAGAAATTTGAGAGAAGTTAATTGTCAATTAAGGTTTAGGAAAGATTTTTGTTTTAGATCCAATGCTGTCTATTTATTCAGCTCAACTTCAAAACTTTATCTTTCCTGTGGAATTATACACAATAATCACAAATAAAATGAAGTAGCTAGGCACCAGTGGCTCATGCCTATAATCCTAGCTACTCAAGAGGCTGAGATCTGAGGATCACAGTTCAAAGCCTGCCCATGCAGGAAAGTCCACAAGATTCTTACCTCTAATTAACTACAAAAAAACCACTTGAGCTGTAGCTCAAGTGGTACAATTGTAGCCTTGAGCACAAAAAGCTCAAGGACAGTCCTCAGGCCCAGAGTTCAAGCTCTGGTACCACAAGAAAAAAAGAGTATCTTCTACTACATTCCCAGAATTTCAAAAAGAGAAGGGAAATTGTACTTTCAAATTGGCCATGATTTGGTAATGGGGCTAAATGGCTCTGATTAAAAGCAAATATGAAGAATCCAAAAACAGAATAAAAATTTAAGTATCCATATAGGTTTATGAATTCCATTGTGGCATTAAAAAATTTCTATGAGGCTGGGAAGGTGGCTCAGTGGTAGAGCGCTTGCCTTGCATGCCTGAGGCCCTGGGTTCGATTCCTCGGCACCACATAAGAAAAAAAAGAGCCAGAAGTAGCACTGTGGCTCAAGTGGTAGAGGGCTAGCCTTGAGCTAAAGAGCTGAGGGACAGTGCCCAGGCCCAGAGTTCAGGCCCCACGACTGGACCCCCCCAAAAAAAATTTCTATGAATATAACATACGCAGAGAGAACAACAATGTTAGCACATCCTAAATCCTTCAAAGTTTCACTGAAGTCCTTTTTGTTGTTGGCTTCAGTAAGAGGGAATTTCAGGCTTTGGGTCAAAAAGGAGGCCATCTCAAGGAGTGACATAAATAGGGCAAACTTACATGATAATAACAGAAGTAGAGGGAAGAATATGAATCATTCCTCTGAAATATTTGTGTGTAAGTCTTAAGAAACATATTTCTTAAAACAACACATATATCCCAACTGTATCTCAATACCAGATTAGGAATAGCATTTGTAATCATAAAAAATTCAAAAGTGAGATGTGTCTACGGACATGAATGAAATCATCATTCCTTCTGAAATCAAAGATAAACGAAAGTAAAAAATAAGTAAATCTTTTTTATGTTAAAAAAAATCCAAAAGTGATTTTGAGCCTTCAGCAATAAGTACAATACAGATTGCTGTCCTGAGAAAGTGCAAAAATAGAAGATAAAAGACCAAACACCTGGGCACAGGTGGCTCATATCTATTAACCCTAGCTATTAGGTGGTTGAGATCTGAGGATCACGGTTCAAAGCCAGCCCAAGCACGAAAGTCCGTAAGACTCTATCTCTAATTAACCACCAAAAACCTGGAAGTAGAGTTGTGGCTCAAAATGGTAAGAGTACTAGCCTTAAGCAAAAAACCTGCTTAGGGACCATGTCCAGGCCCTAAGTTCAAGCCCTTAGCCCTCACAGACAAACAATGCTGCTTACAAAGCTAAATAGGAGCCACATCCCCAGGGAACAGGAAAGGCTGGGGAAAGGGGGCTTTGGTGCATGGAATCTGTCAGCTTAACTCTGGGAAGCACCTGGCTCCTGACCAGTAACTGTGTGAGGCAGATAAGCCAGGTGGCCTTTCTGAGCCTCAGTCTCCTCTTCTATAAAATCCAGCTCAGAGCTACCTGAACCCTGCAGAGCTGTAAACATTAAAAAAGAATCCCCTAACGTTTATATGTGATCATGGCCGTGTCATTGGGTGTCCTATTATCATCAGAAAGAACTTCAGCCTAATAAAGATAGTAAGTGAAGACGGTGAAGGCTTCCATCTAGTGGACTGTTTTGCAGCGCTAAATATATGTTCTGAGCCTTTAAGAAGTGACATTATTTCTAAATAACTAGAAATGACGCCCGTAGCAGATTTAGGTTTTCAGCCTTTCCTAGAGCCATTTCTGATGACATGTCCCTCTCCTAAGAGAAGGGATGAGCTATTCTGAAATTTGTATAACCTTAAACAAAAGAATAGTCTCATCACAGGAATTGTCAACAAGAAGTCCAGAGACAGTATAGAGCTTCCTAAAGCAAAGTGGCAAATACTATAATGTTAACAGAACTAGTGAGCTACCTGCCTTTTTCTCTTCATAGGAATGTTGACTAAAGTAATTGCCTGTGCTCAAAAAGTGTGATTGAGTCTTGAAAGATTTATTGACAACGAAGTTCTGGGTTCTATTTGAATCTCAATCCCTTTCTTACCGTCGCCCAGAGTGCCTTTCAGAAGTACAAAGGCCATTTTTGTTCTTCTACTAGGAATAGTAAAGATGTATTGCTCTTTTCAGGTACTTTTAAAATTTAGTCTCAAGGATAAAAAAAAAATTAGCTTTTACGTGAAAGGATGGCTAATCTTTGACGCTGTCAGGAATTCTGGGGAGGAAGGTTGGAGACCTCCGCTCAGTGGTCGGGGGTCTCCTTGGGCGAACCCCCATGAGCTGCTGATCCCACGGACCATCAATACAACCATAAAGCCATGGTTATGGTCTAGACACATATGCCACAGGCAGACTAGAACACGTGCCCTAAGACCCTTCCATGTGACTGGGCCCACAAGGAACATTTTTTTTTTACGTGAAAGAAACAAACCAACAAAAAGAAAACTAAATCCAAAGACAATGTAAATGCAGGTAGCCTCTTTACATCTCGTATACTAATCATGGTACATCTTCATAGAAAGAAGATAAAGAGAAGAAAGAGCTAAGTCAATACATTTTTTAAAAAAGCAATAGGATGCATAATGATACAAATTAAATACATTACTTGTCAACACAGGGGAAAAAATAAGAGGGGAAAATGCACAAAGACTACCACTCTCAAGTCCATACACAAAGCTAACCACAAATAAAAGAGCAAATAAACAAAAGGCAGTCTGGTTTGTGATAATTACCACGCTCATGAGTGATGACTGAAGAAAAAAAAAAGGAAGGTAGTACATTTACAGAGGTCAAAAGACAGGGAAATGGGGGGAAAGAGAAGTTGAGACTTTGGTTCTAACTTGTTCTTCATAAGAGAAATTAGAAAAAAAAAGAAAACAATGAAACAAAATATGTTAATCAGTCCAGCCAATTATTTGGGTGCATGTTGAGAAAGCTGACACACATGAAACTGACCTGACCACGGAGAGCTGGAAGAGATTCACACAGGACAGTCACTGCTATGGGTCCTGCCCATGCCTGGCTGGAGCCAGGAGGCCACCTACGAGGCTGCTAGCTAAAGGCCTTTATGGAAACGTATGGTTCCAGAGAATGAGTTACAGATGCTGTTCTGAAACCTCAGACCTCTGGGTGATCACTATGGGAAAAATCAACTCAAGCTCCAATTCTACATCAAGAACTCAGCCATAGGACAGATGATCCTTTGGCGTTGGGGCTGCTACAGCTTGACTATGCCTGGGATTTGGGGACAGGCATGAGCCAGACAAGACATGTGCCCAGACTTCTAAAATTGTTCTGATTGGTTCACTTGGGATGCTTAAGAAGCCCTCAGTTGGTTCACTTAGGGCTGGAATTTTTCTTTTTTTTTTGGGGGGGGGGTCTGGTCGTGGGCCTGAACTCCGGGCCTGGGCGCTGTTCCTCAGCTCTTCAGCTCAAGGCTAGCGCTCTACCACTTGAGCCACAACACCACTTCCGGCTTTTTTTTCCTGCTCATGTGGTGCTGAGGAATCGAACCCAGGGCCTCATGCATGCAAGGCAAGTGCTCTACCACTGAGCCACCTTCCTAGCCCCTGAAATTTTTCTTGAAGGGAACTAACTTGATTAAGTAACCCTGTGATTTATATTTGATGACTGAACGTAAAACAAAATAAAATAATGGTACCAGCAGGGGTAAACTCAATGTAAGCCATAAGCTTTAAAATAGAATGAGAATGGAGTTATTTTTCTTATTTGTGACATCAAAGATACGTAAAAAGATTAATTCTAATTTTTTTCCAAAAAAAAAAGGTTTACAAAGACTAGAAATGTTAGATGGGGGTAAATCTATTTTCTGAAATAAGATAAGTCCAATTAAGGACCCACTGTTCTAAAGCTAATTTGCTGACAAGGTAGATGACAAGTCTGAGCCAGACTAAACAAACAAAACCAGTTCAACACACAGGGCCTCGCCAATCATCAGGCACAGAAGGAAACAAACTGAAAGTATATTTGTTTCTTAATAAATATTCCTAAAATCAAGGGGGCAGTACTGCTGATAATTGCTCTAAACAGATCACATGCTACACTTTGTGTCTGCAGAGGGTCAACAGCATCATCCAGACACAGACTGTTCATTAAACACATCTGGACATGCAAAGATATTGGCTTGGTAAGAGAAGCAGAAGTCATGAAGGAGAAGCCTGGGATGGTGCTGAATGGAAAGGCCTGAACACCTTACTTAGTGCCCTATGGAGAGAATGGGAGCTGGGCAGTCTGGTAAAGTGGCCAGAGACTGTCTGACTCATCCGTGTGTTTGGTGATATTGCAAATAATTCTTTAATAAGAGGTCTTTATTAGATCTCTGTTCCTTTATGAATACCAACTAGCAGAAAGAGCTGGGAGGGGAAGGCTGACACAAAAGAGAGCTCTGACTGACCTGGGGCCCTGGTTTGGGAGTGACTCATATGAGTGTTCAACAAGACACACTTGTGTGGGTCACGTGGGCCTCTTATCTGTTTTCAAACAACCCTGGATCTCTCTGTGTGAAAGGACATGGATGGTGGACGTGCTTCAGGGAAGACCGAGGACGGGCCCCAGGACGTAAGGATGAGTACCTGATCCTTCCTCTGTCACCATGCCCAGGCCTTCAGCTTTGTTTTGCCTCTCAAATGCATTTAGGTCAAGGACACTACAAGAAAAAAGAGAAACATGTTTACAGGATTCACAGGAGCTGGTCTTTTTTTTTTTTCATTCAGAAGAGTGAGTGTCTAAATACAGTATGTCTTGAAATGTGACCAGAACTTTTAATATATGCTGAGAACATGAGCCCTCTCCAATGCTCTGGTCCACGCCTTCCTGACATACCAGCCTTTCCTTAGGTAAAAAGTTCTGTGTGAGATTCCAATACAAAGTTCTGTTTGTAGACGTCAGCTGGGGGTGGGGTTACTAAGGTGGCAAACACGTTTAAACGTAATTATAATCATCACAGTATTCCACGTTTGTATCAGGTATCTGGGCCTAATAAGGTCTGAACAATTCTGGACATTGTAAGACATAGGAAATGATGGTCACTGATGATTGTGTACTGTGCATTTTCCAGCACATCATACATACTTTAAATCTCTGGTGTGGGAGGGGCTAGTTGAGGATACGGTGACTCACTGGTCATGAGGACATCACTAACACTTAAAAAGAGCAAGGCAAGAAGGTCACTTCCATGGCATGCCTTTGGAGGGAGAGAAAGAGGGACTGGGATGAACAGTGGCGGACATGACACGGTGACACATGGGCCCTCATAGTGCTCCTTGTTCTCACAGTGTCTGGTACTCCTTCCAAAAGGCTTTTCCTTCCCATAATGCTCTGGGTGCCTCTTCAACCAATGAAAAGAGCCAAAGCCACCAGTCAGGACAAAGCCCAGGGGAAAAGAGCAGGGAGTGACCTGTGCTAGAAAACCACCCTTCAATGGACACTGGCGGAATCCTCTCCGGGGCCTCTCTCCTCAGAGACTCTGATTACCTTCTTTACACTGCTTGTCTCTCACTTGCTCTGTCTGCTTTAAACGTTTTCCTGTCCTTTAGCTCTTTTATAGAGGAGAAAACACCTTCCCTCACCCACATAGCATCATCCACAACGTTGAGCATCCTGCTTCATGTGAGGACAGAAAGACACGGCACCTGCCCAGAGCAAAGCATGTGTGTGCTCACCTGCAGGACTGCATCAGGCCTGCCAGGCTCTGGAAGAAACCCACGTCCTTCTTCTCCTTCAGGTAGTCGAGCATCTTCTGCAGAACAGAAACAGAAACATGTTTTACCGCACACAAGCCTTGCTGCTTTCTTCATCACTTTTTGCTGTCATAAGCAACCACCCAAACACTCTTTCTGTTCTGAAGCAAAGGTAAAGTTACCTACCATGAAAAACTACAATCATTGTCACTTGCATCATGAAATGGTGATAGACACATCAAAGTAAGACCCCTGCACATTCCCAAAGGCCGGAGGAGGTAACCTGATACAAGCAGGAAGGCTGTGCCCACACCTCCATAAGCACCAAAAATGGTGCCAAAATGCCACCCTGGAGGTATGGATCAAGTGTGAGCAAGCAAGCCAAGTGAGAGTGCAAGCCTTGAGATTATCTCCAAAAAAGGTCATATTCGACTTATGTTTCCAGATACTTTTACCTCGGTTTACATTTCAACAGATAAGTCTGTCACATAATTATGTTTCCCTCCCATGTTCTCTTAAGAATATTGTGGTGAATTGAAAGAGACAAATTTTAGATAGATATCAAAGAAATGTACCCCCTGGCTGGGGGTTTAGTTTTGTTTTTTTGAATAGTACTTTGCGGCATGCCTGAAGGCTTTTACCTGTTGCACTGTGGAATTGCCGCCGTTTAAGATTGCAATTCCTAGTTTCAGAGTAGCAGCTACCATTGGTCCAGTGTCACCTGAAAAACAGAAAACATAGAATGCCTTAGCATTGCACCTGCTACATTCACCTAGGCTGCTCTACAGACCTATGCCCCAGAAAAAGCCACCACAGTCACAATGCACATCTGCCACCAATACTCTTGTGAAACTTGGGGAATAAATTCAATATCTAGGGGATTAAACAGGAGAAAGCAATTGACTGTGAAGTACTCAGGATCGGAATTATGAAGACTCAAAACCAACCATGTGCATTACACTAAGATCAAAATGAACAGAAGCTATCTGAAAGTTTAATAAAAATTTCTCTCCATCCTTCAACAGTATTATATTGGAGTTTTATCATTTGTCATTCATCACTTTTAATAGATGGGTCTTGTCAGGCTTTACTGAGATGATAATTTTCAAACTTAAATTATTCAGATAATGGTAAAAAAAATTGAACCCACACAGTTTTCTGTTGTTTAATACATTATATTTTATGTTATTCTCCCCTACTTGGAAACAAAAATCATCCTCATAATTTAGGAAAAGAAATGTTCAGTAGAAGAGTACCAGCATTATTTTCCCATTTCAGTAAAAGTATATTAAAATAGTTTCCCAAAGAAAATAATCACTAATATAAGAAAACTCATCCACAGCTGGCTACCGAGATAGATAGTTGTACAGTAGTTGTTAAAAAACACTCCCTAAAGATGCCTATACATTAAAATGAAGAGTCAACATACTGTGGTCTAAGGACCAAATACAGTTGGCCTCCAGCTTATACAAATAAAGTTTTATTAGAACAAAGCCATATGGCTAGTATTGTCTCTGCTGCTTTCACGCTCCTATAGCAGACAGAGCTGACGGGGGGGGGGGGGGTCATACAATCCAAGAAACTAGAGACAATTACTCTCTGTCCTTACAGAAAAAGCTTGCAAACCCCTGATTTATAGCATCTGTTGACTAAGGTGGGTTCAGGGCAGAGCTTTCAAATCTTAAAAGAACATATATGAAGACTAAATAAATAAATGACAAAGTTGGAGACCATGAAGGCCGGTGTTGGCGACACCAGGACTGGGCAAAAAAAAAAAAAAAATCAAGGACTAAAACATCAGCAGAATTAAAACCAGGGAGCCCTTGGCACACAGGGAGGAGAGTGGAAGGAGGTGCTGGCATCAATCAAGATGCACTGTACTCATGATCTGACTTGTTAAATGCTAACTCCTCTCACAACTACTTAAAGATCATGAAAGTACAACTTTTTTTTTTAACAAAGACTATTTCCTCCTGTTCTGAGGGCTTAACTATCCTGAACAACTCATGAATAGTTCAACAAAAGGACGACCAGGAAAGTGGAATCTTTTTTGGGGGGGGGGCAGGGTGTCAGACGAATAGAGAAAGGAAGGGTGGGTGAGCACAGTCGTATGCAGTGTGCATAGGTGAAAACTGAATCCTGTGCCTGGAAGGGAAGGCGAGGAGGTGGGGAAAACGAGGGAGGAGGACGGTAGGGGGTGACCCTGATGAAGCTGCACTGTACTTGTAAACGGATCTGTTGAACGGAAACACTTTGGTACATCTGCTTCAAGACAATCATTACACACACACAGAAGCCCGACTCACCTTTGCTGGCACTGATGGTCTGCAGGACCATCTCCGCCGCGCCCCGGTCGTGCAGTCTGGCTTGCTGGTACAGGAGCTTCTGCTTTTCCATTTCCTTTTCCTGAACACAAACCCCAACCATTTATGTGGCGGCTATCAGCCACAGAGAAGCTGTTTATAGACCATATTTTTTAGTCATCTCTCCATGTATGGGCTCTATGACAACATTATGGACCATTTCAACACCAGCAATGTCATCAAACAGATAATCACATGTTTAACTCTCATTTTTTTTGTGGGTTCTTTTTGTTTGCTTTTTTTTCTCTTTTCCCTTGATATATTCTTTTCACAATATAACTTTTGGATGGATTGTTCTCAATTTTAATTGCTTGGTTAGTCCAAAGCCTGTATCACAGTTTTTGTGCTTCATCATGGAAACTTGTACTTTCCGATTGAAATGTTTTGTGTATAACTTAAGAGTCAGGTTTTTGTTTTATAATCTCCTATGTCATGGCCAGGACTTGATACTGCTCAGCAAATGGCTCGAGTTGCAAGTATATCACTGCATCATAGAAAAAACAAAACAAAACAAGAACATCAAGTGAGACATCTGGACTTTATATAAAATTGGAGGTTGATATGGAATTTTTTTTAAAAAAAACATAGGCTTCAACTGAGTTGTAAACTTGTAGGACAGGTCTCCCCATCACCCCGCCAAAGAACAAGAGAAGCAATGTGCCTTTATATTTTGTATTCTCTGGTGGTAACAAAAGATACTGCATGGGGCCAGCTAAGAGCAATGGCTGAAGTTGGTTCTTTTCCACTTAAGCTATCACTGCGAACATAAAGAAATTAAAAACCAAATAAATAAATAAAAAGAAAGAAAAGAAAAATATAAAGGCACAGCAAGTTCAGGTCTGGTAGGATCATTCGCTGGAGCAAGCCAGCTCGCTGGGGCACTGAGACGGAACTAAGCAGTACCAGTGGCGGCGTGGAAGTTGCATAGAGCCCCTAGGACAGCGCGGCCATCAGGATGGCGTGGTAGAGAAGCTGAGTCTATGGGACATGAGACGCTCAGTCCGCATCATGTCCGGACACACAACGGCCAGAGACATATGACCTCACAGCAGTACGAGGGTTACAGCAGAGGTAGCCAGCTTTGCTCCATAAACTTTCCATCCAACGTACGGAAAATAGACACTGGGAAGATGGAAGAGGTTTAAAAAATGAAGGCTTGCTAAGTTACGGGATATGAAAAATAAAGGAAACTAAAGAAGGAAAGGAGGGAGGGAAGAAATGGGTTCAAACAAATGAAAAAAAAAAAGAAAGAAAAAGAAACCTTTAAATCAAAAGCAACCAACACAGACAGTTATGCTGTTACCAGAGATTTCTCGCCGAGGCTGGCAAATTTGTTTCTTAAATCTTTGATAATATCGTGCTGTAAAAACAAAATTGATCAGGGTTTTTTTTTTCACACTATAGTTATAGGTCCTGCGGTTAAATTTTATTGTTTTTCTTAAATTAGGTGATAGGTCTAAATGGAAGCAGAGAAAAGAAAAATAAATGGGTAGCTGTGCTTCGTGTGTAGCCATGCTAACTTCTAATAGATTTGCCTTCATGTTTAAACCTCTTCCTGAGAAGTCGAAAACAAAACAGAAACATAACCACACACAGACACACAAAAACCATACGTTCATTACAACACGGTGCCAGGAAAACTGAAAAGAAGACCCTTTCGTTGACTCTTTAGCTCTCACTTAAAATCAATGAAGCTATATTTGTTTCTTCCTTTTAGACCCAACCATCTTTTATTTTTCTCCCATTGCCAGAGCTGAAAAAAAAAAATGGTGCGCTTACAGCTTGACCAACTCCTTTTGTGAAAGGGATTTTCAGTAAGAAATGATATAAGGTATCATTAGCTTAGGGAACTGCCCTAGCATCTTACCAACTACAGAGCCTCAGGAGTCAGAAAGAACTGTTCTACTATTGAACACAGGATGGTCTGCACCAGGAAACCCATGAAAGATGGAAGACAGGAGTCAGTGTCATCCAATCTTAGGGACAAAACCCAACAGTTGCCATTTGTGCGCAACAGCAGGTAGATGGGCTCAGGGATCTGCTAGAACCACTTGGACAACAAGGTTTCTAGTAAGTTCTCTACCGTTGAAATCACACTTGACATGTAAGCTAAACTGAAGAGGACCAAGGCGTTGAGGAACTATCCAATAGTCTTCTTTAAAAACTAAGCCGGGTGCTGGTAGCTCATGCCTGTAATCCTAGCTACTGAGGAGGCTGAGATCTGAGGATCACGGTTCAAAGGCAGCCTAGGCAAGAAAGGCCGTGAGACTCTTATCTCCAATAAACCACTCAGAAAACTGGAAGTGGCACTGTGGCTAAAGCACCAGCCTTGAGCTGAAGAGCTGAGGGACAGCGCCTAGGCCCAGAGTTCAAGCCCTACGACCACCACCACCACCAAGAAAAAAAATATTCTAAGATTTATCATGAAAAGAAAGAAAGAAATACTGATCTAGAAAGCTAGCAAAGCTATGGGAACCAACGCCTCCCCTGAATTTCCTGGTGAGGCTGAGTTGGTGACTCCTTCTGTCTCTTCCCCTTGGTTCTCCTGACTGACTCCCTGACCTCTCAGTCAGTCCTGCCTGTGGCTGACCTGTAGCTATGAAAACCAGCTGTTAACCCCAGGACCATCCCACAAGGAGGCCTCGTGCTGATGGGTAAAGACACACCACAGTGCGTGGGTGCTGGACAGGCTGGACCTGAGGTGTTTACGACTTCCCCCAGGGTTGCCTAGCAACCAGAGCATATTATGTTCAGGAGGAGGCATCAGGAAGGAATCCTGATGACCCAGACATGACGGGTCATGGCCATCCTTCACCCCACGATGAATAGGGTAGCTCTGGAGTCATTCCACACAGTCGAGCAATGAGGCGTGGGATGGAGCACCGGTGGCCAGCTCAAGCACTGGACTTCTAAGCCTCCCTCCTGCTTGTATCATCTCTCTTGTTCTCCTAACACTTGCTTTCCTACATTTGTAACACCCTTAAGCTTAATAAACTGTCAGCACGTAAGCTTTCATCCTGCTTTCTCTAAAACCTGGACTGGTACATGCGGTCAGTATCCGAGGTCGATCATTTCACGTATGAACATGTGCTTGGCAGCTCTCGGCAGTATTATGCAGCCCACGGAATCCCTTCCCTTTCTCTCCTCTGCAGTTCCTATTTTGAATGCAGATAGCCTCAGCAGTGAGACATAAAGGATTGAATTTTTCTTGAGAAAAGGCATAATCAGTTTGGTATTTTAAATCCACAGTCTATACTCAAGGATTCTACTTTGCTTACACAAACCTACTTAAAGTAGAAGCTATGTGCTGATCAGAATCCATGCATCTTTCTTATTCTCAATTTATTCTACTAGAATTACCCTCCCCCCCCATGGAATTCTTCAAAATTAAAACACTAGAGGGCTAGATGGAAGTCCAGTTAACTCACTACAAGCCCTGAAGATATCTGGGCTCTAGAATGACTCCTCCAACCATCATGCTACAATGCTTTAAATTAGGAGAGCATCAGTCCAAGTACTTTAGTAGGCATGATGTAATTTTCATTACATCACACAGGAGATAATATGCTAGCCTTCTAACTTTTTGTTACAAAACACCAACTCTGCCACAGGCAGTTGTAGTATTTAAGACAGAGAAACTGTCCTTAATCCAAAGTACAGGAAGATAGAACTTCAGAGACTTGTTTATCGCCAAGGTAGAAGCTTGACATTTGCAGCTTGCTTGATGATTTGAGAAAGATGGACTAGAAGAAAAGCTGAGTTCCATTCTTCTCATTTATCTAAGCTTCACTGTCATCAATGCAGGCTTTACAAGGAGTAATAGATGGGTTACAGGACTCTGATAGTCACAGAAATGGTTTTACTCAATTATCATTGAAAGTCATAGCTTCAGGGTTTTTTTTTTTTTTTTTTGGCAAGAACAATAGGAGAAGCAACCAATTTTCAGAAATCATAGTTTAAATATAGGGTCCATTCTGGTACCAAAAGCTCTAAGAATCTCTGTTAGGAAAAAAACTTCATCTGCTTAAAAATGAACTTATTCAACTTGAAGCATTATTATTTTTATTATTCTTTTTCATCTTTGTTTTTGCTCATGAAAAATTCAAAAGCTAAATAAAGCATTTAACTACAAATAGTTGGCTTTTCAGATACTCTTTCAATTAATATTGGCCTTTTAATAAGATTTAACAGTCCTTTTATGACTTTCACAGTGAAGTAGTCATAAATCTAAAGAATAATTACCTAGGGGCTGGGAAGTTGGCTCAGTGGTAGAGCGCTTGCCTTGCATGCCTGAGGCCCTGGGTTCGATTCCTCAGCACTACATAAGCAAAAAAGAAAAAAGCCGGAAGTGGTACTGTGGCTCAAGTGGTAGGGCACTAGCCTTGAGCTGAAGAGCTGAGGGACAGCGCCCAGGCCCAGAGTTCAGGCCTCACAACCGGACCAAAAAAAAAAAAAAGAATAATTACCTAAATATATAACCGAGCTACTCAATGAGTAGCTATAGGGAAAGCCTGTTTATGTTATAGATAAAATGTAGTAGATTATCTGAAACTGTAGCATGACTGTATCAATATAACATAAATGTGACATAAGAAAGAAGAGGAGTCAAACACTTAGTGTTTTAATCCTAACTTCCTCTTTTCCATGTTCTGAACATTCTATAATCCTCATGGAAAACTTCTTCATTACAACACATTTCTGAGTTTATCTACTTTCCTCGATGTCTTTGTTGAACACAAAGAGCTTCAGTAGAAACTACAGCAAAATTCATTTGTTACATACTTTGGTTTTTTCCGACTTAATTAACAAAATTTGTTACAAGAGTTATTAAAACTATAAATGTTATTAAAGTTATTAGAACCTATAAATGCCACTATTAGAGGAAGGTCTCTAAACTTATCAGGAGAGAAATAATTCAGTTGTCTGGTCAAATTTTTCCATGTTTTTGTGGGGTATCCTATGATTAACTCCAGAAAAGAGTATCTTCATAGGTGTTTTCCCTTAGCAAGTTTCCAGAGCAAATATTTAAAATACTAGGAGACAGAAATCGTCACCTAGTTCCTTCCTTTAATGAAGTTCCCAAAGAACTAATATCACAATGAGAAACAGAGCTTTCTCCAATCTCAACAGCAATGTCATTCACCAAGTCTAGTTTTTGAGCAAAGAAACTGTTTAAAATCAAAACAAAATTTAAAAAAATCAAGAGGGCTAAGGCCAGAGGTTGCACTGGAAAGTCCTCAGCAGATGCTTCATCCACTAGCGGCTTTTAGCCTGCTCTGTATGCAGCTCAACATCAACACAGGAGATAACATTACAGATCAAGAGTCATGTAGACTGCAAGAAGAATACACCAAAGAAAGAGATCAATTGTGTTGGCACTAACGAAGTCACAGGCAGAATTTTCAAGACCTTTGGTCACAAAAGAGTCCAAGATGTTGGGTCTAACAAAGGCCAAAGTCACAAGAAACTAAAACTCAGACCCAGACACATACACACATATACATGAGTTTACCTTGCTGCGCTGGGATCCTGTGACCTTAAAGGAAGGATGAGGACAAGAAGCAAAACAGCAATAAACAATTGCTCTAAAGACACTGGTAAGACCATACATGCTGGGCATGTCAGGAAAATGGCATTATTTTCTGTTCACTAATCATTCTCATCCACCTGCCTCTTACTATAGAGGTGGACTTGCAACTGGAATGCACGTACATCAGAAAAGATTACGGAATCACAGGAAATTAATCGTACGGCATTTCTCTCTGCCAGCAATGGTCACGGGTTATTCTCAAGTCAGTTTGTTTGGGTAGTTTCTGGTACACTGACTTCAATGCTCGCAGACATGCTTATACAAATTGCTCCTGGAAGTGGATCTGACCGCTTTCAGGTCTCCTTGGCTATGCTCTGTGGGCCCACCGTGATTTAAAGACTCATTGCCAGCTAGTGACAGAGTTCCAGATTTCTAGCTCAAAGTCTAGACATGTCAAGTCACAGGAAGAAAATGATCTAATCTCTATTTCCTACCCCTCAATTTCTTTTTGAAAAATCTAAAAAAAAAAAAGAATGACCAATAAATAAGAAGCAATAACTATTCTCAGTTTTTAAAACCTGAAAGTATATTACACGCAAAGGGGAAGATAATATTAACTTTTCTTTCAGCCAGTCAACATTAAGCAGCATTTCAAATCACATGTTATTTTAAAGCTGCGAATGCTTGAGGACGATGATGATCATCAAACCGAATCTAGTCCTAGGAATACACATATTCCTACCACATGCAAGCAAACAGCCCATGTGCTACCACCTCGTGTGTGCATGGAATGAGTGACCTAATTGGGGTGAAGTTAATGTAGCAGAACTTTAAGACTTCAATTCAGGGTGGGGGTGGAGGGAAATGCCCAACCAAAGGTATAATGAAAAACTCGAGATCATGTTACTTTTCAATAAATACTTTCCACATACAGTCGGTTGGAAATTAAGAGCCCGTAACATTGCTGAGAACAATCTGAAGCAGAGTGAGGCACGCTCATTCTGAACACAGGGGCTTTCTCGTAAGGGTCAGGGAGTCTACACTTCTTTATCTTAACTCCAGCAATGTTAGGACTTGGGTTTGTCCATCCAGCTCTGACATCACATGCAGTTCCTTGACACAATCAGCTGCAGTAAGCCATGAAGCAAGAAACATAAAGGTCACTTATAAGCTATGAACTAATGTTTCAAAATAAAGGAAAGCCATTCTAGAAAGATCCATCTTACTTCAAAGCTCTTCACTTCCTCTTCACCATCATCATCTTCCTCATCATGACAACTCTGACATGGGGAAGGAGGGGATACAAAAAGAAGACACAAATATGGTCAAGCATAAAGGGGGAAAGAATTATTTAACACACATACAGATGAGTTGAATGAATTTATCATCACAAGTGATTCATATTCATTTTCATCAGCACTGTTTAAACATACAGACTAGACAAGGTGCATAGACATTAGCAATCGGTTTATGATAAAAATAAAGTGATATTCTACGTTGTATGCTTTTACAAAATTAAGATATTAAATAGACTCTTTTACATGTAACAGAGCTCATAGTGGGGTCTGTAACACTCTACAACATTACTTAAGTAATTTATCTCATTCAAAGACAACTGTAAGCCCTAAAGACAAAGTTCTTCTCTCTTTTTAGGCTGCCATTAGAAAATGCTAACAGAGGTGCATACAACAATCATTATTTAACATTAATAACAAAGCAATATCCACTCATTGAAATGACTCTGTAATTCTCAAGTTCAGGTCTATTATATTTCACCCAAAAGTCTACTGATATTATTCTTCATACATAATAAGTAATAATAACTATCCCATTTTTTTCACCCAAAGTGATAAAAGGGTTGGACATGGATTCTTATCTAGTTCCCACAGCTGGAACACAGGCTTGCTAAGGAGGGGGTGGAAAGGGGTGTGCATGTACACAGAAGACCTAGTGCCTGACAACTTCACTATCGTTTGCTCAGGCTTGGCAAGTTATTTCTTCTCCCTGTGTCTCCCTTCCTTCACATTGAGGATGGAAATGAGAAAACGCATACCTGGGTCCCTAAGAGGATGATATGTGTTAATATGTGTATAATGTTTGCATCTGAAAATCAATATGCTTTCAATAAACCTCAGCAAACACTGCTATTCTGGTTGGGAATTTGGAGTCATTGGCCAATATAGTCATTAGTCAATATTGTATGTAAGAGGAAACTTATTGTCCAGATTGTCCCAAACATTCTCAGTTATTTCTTAGGCTTGCTAAATGCTTGGTGTAATTGTGAGATGCTCAGAGGTGAAGTATGAGTTACACATCAAGAAAACACTGGCACCTCAATAAGGCACAATTCTCTGGGTATGGAAATGAAGTGGAAGCAGGGTGAATGGTCTCAAAGGACTGGTCCAATGTCTCGGTGGCAGCTTCTAAAAGATTCACATATTCTCCATTCATTCATTTGTTCAGTGAGAAGTACATAGCATCACCCCTTCCATTTAGAACAGGAAGCGTATGAGCACAGTCAAAATCTATAAAGAGGAAATTAAAGTGATGGTTTCACTATGGGGTCAGGTGCTAAGGGGGCTGGGACCACAAGAAAACACCAACAGGTCTCCAGCAATCGGGAAGCATCTGACAGAAACAGAAGACTTTGCAGGCATGTTCTTCCTTAGGAAACTTCACCCACATGGTAAGTGTGGGTGAGAATGCCCAACACATGGGGAGTTGTACATACACTTGGCTGTCCAGATCAAGACACTAAGTTTTAGTCAGGAACGAGTAGGATTGTATTCCAGGAAAGAAAAAGTAAATGTTCTCCATACGTGATTAAAGAAAAAGGGAGAATAAAAACTAAAACCAGCAATGATGTGCAGAATGCAAGGAAACACAGCATTTTAGCTTTCTAGTATCTACTAGAAATTTTGCAAAAGAAGTCTATTTCTTCCATCTTCTTACTTTTGCCTTTTCTGACTTTTCCTTAATCTTTTGAAGAAAAGATTGAGGAAACAAGGCCAGAAACTTATATATGAATTTAAATCTGTGAGCAAGAAATGGATTTAAAACTGACTCACAGAACTAATGTATGAGAGAGAAAGTAGCCAGCCATTTTATCATTCCAACCAATCAGCCAACAAAAAAAATAGAACATGAGCTGTAACTCACCATGTATCATAAAGATGGGGAAGTTTGTAAGAGGTGGGAGAGAACAAGGAGAAAAGTTTTCCTTGCTAGAAACTTAAGAACAAAATCCCATTTTTGTGTGTGTTCAATTGGTAACAGTACCATTCCACACACTTTTGCATGGTTATCTCCCTTAAGCTGTTAAAACCAGTAGGTAATGTAGCTTTAGCCAGTGCAGAATGGATGGTAGGCAGTAAAGAGAAATTCTGAGAAGTCCAGCAAAGGTGGCTTAATGAAGGCAGCCATTGGTTTCAGCAGAAAATTAACTAGATGCAAATTAACTAATCAGAAATTTTCTGATAGGATGTTCAAAAGAGGAGAGCTACATGCTGGATAGAAAGGTGGTAATAAAAGGCAGAACAACAATAAAACGGAGTAGCAACCCACAGGCAGAATTAAGTGTTGCTTCCAAACTACAAAGATTTTATGTTTTTTTAAGTTATCACCAAAAAAAGAACAAGACATAATATGTACATGATTAACAATAATTAGTAATACACAGGACATGTAGAACTATTCATCTGCTCTTTTGTTTCAGAACTGGCCATCAATGAGAAGTGAGTATTAGGTACAGAAAGTATCTAGACAAATATGACAACAACAAAAAAAGATTGCAGTGGAATCTACTCTGTATGTCACAAATCTATTCAGTATGTCACAAATTATAAACTATCAGAATCTCTCTTGGACACTGCTGGTAGAGAATATAAATTCAGGGTATAACTTTGGGAAACAATTTGGCATTTTTATCAAGTTGGCATATATCCCACTGTTTCTAAATTTTGCACAACAAGAGATATAAACTAAGAAGAGGCAAGCCAATCCCTGTTCACTTGAGGCTGTGGCACAAAAGCCTATCAGAATAAAAGGCAAGTGGATAAGCAGCAAAGTGCCTGCTTCAAGAAAATATAATAGGACAGTCAAATGAACTCCAACAGCAACAAAGACATGTGGACGAAATCTCAGAAAACAACACTAATGAAACAACTAATCCCAGAGCATTACATTTACCTTACTTCCCTCTGACAAGTTAAAAAAAACCCTGAAATTTAAAATATGCTTGATAAATACATGCAGGTAAACAAAATTATAGGAAAAGAACGCCAAGGTCATCTTAAATAGAGGGCTGATGGCTTGTGTGGGAGGTTGAGCTGGTGAAGGGCTAGACCACCTATGTGTTAATCCAAGTCTGACCTTTTCATGTGGATGGTGGATTTACAAAAGCTTCTACATTATTACAAATGACTACACAACCACAATTCGCAAAGCAGGCCACCAATGGAAAAATGAGCATCAATTGTGACAATGAACTGAAACTCTATGATCATAAAGTTAAGAAACAATTTAAATGGAAAGCTGAAACCTAAGATTTAAACCCTTCCTCCAAAGGAGTGGCAATGATAAAAGAAGACAAGAGGACATATACCTCTGGAAGAGACTGGGGTAAAAGTGACTACTCGTGGACACTGAATCAGCGTAGGTGAGGGTCGAGAAGCCTGGAAGAGAAACTTTCACTGTCCCGTGATGCTCCAATACGGAGGAAGGCTACCTCCACCCAACACCTGCAAGGAATTTGTGTCTCCACTAGCAGCTCTATTCTAGAATAGCTTATCCAAGTAACTGTGGAGCATGGATCTACCTCTGACAACTTTTTAGACAGAGTGAAAAGATAAGATGTAAGTTTGTAAAATATATATGCATAAAGAGGGCTGGGAAGGTAGCTTAGTGGTGAGTGCTTGCCTAACATTCATGAAGCCTTGGGTTCGATTCCTCAGTACCACATACACAGACAAAGCAGGTAGTGGCATTGCAGCTCAAGTGGTAGAGTGCTAGCCTCGAGCAAAAGCAGCTCGGGGACAGTTGCCCAGGCCCTCCCTGAGTTCAAGCCTCAGGATGGGCAGAAAAGAATGTAGATTATGAGTCTGGGAAAAAGTTTACAAATAAACTGTATTTACCGTCAACTTAGATAAACTGGGAAATCCCCAAATAGATGGAAACAGATTGCCAAAACTGGATGATAAAACTGACCTCAAAGAGCTTTTGGTCTGGGGCAACTGTCTAACTCTAGCTAGACAAATGGTGACGTAACTTAATTTTCAAAAATCTGCCTAGGCCGGGTGCCGGTGGCTCCCGCCTGTAATCCTAGCTACTCAAGAGGCTGAGATCTGAGGATCTCGGTTCAAAGCCAGCCTGGGCAGGAAAGTCCGTGAAACTCATCTCCAATAAACCACCAGAAAACCAGAAGTGGCGCTGTAGCTCAAGTGGTAGAGTGCTCGCCTTGAGCTGGAGAACTGAGGGACAGCGCCCAGGCCCAGAGTTCAAGCCCATGACCAACCAAAAAAAAAAAAAATCTACCTAAAAACAAGGTATGTGAAATGAAACCAAATAGAAATCCAGACCATGATTGGGAACTCAAGTTGACATACACACTCAAAAATGGGACAGAAATATGAGCTGGCTGTCAAAACTGCAATGTGTTTCTCCACCTTGTAGGAAATGTAAAGGACTCTTAAACCAGAAGAAGGACATGATGCATACATTTCATACATATGAGCAGATAATCGGAAAAGTGTGTGTTCAATTAACTATGGGAGAGGATATCTGATAAATTGGAGCACTTGCACAGTATAATAAATGGAATCCCTTGGGTACATTAAATAATAGTAATAGGCTAATTCTGAAGAGGAAAATCATAAGACAAAGAATCAGCACCTTACTCATCATGGCACTCAACATCCACCAAAACGAGATGTGGCTTTAGAACACAATTGAAAAAGGTAAAGGTAAGGCCTTGCTTGGTCAACTGGGAACAACTTCACCAATCAGAAACAGCCTGTTCCCAAGTCGGAAGCTTCTCTGTCTCCACCCCAGTGTTCCTCAGCTGCAGAGGATGTGCCAGGCCTGGGCACTGAGCCACTCTGGTACCTTCCTCAATCACAGTCAGGTAAAAAACTCTTTAGCCTTGATGTATCTCCTCTAACTGCCAGCATCCCGAGAGCACATTTGGTTGGAAGAAGTACCCGGTGAAGTTGCGGAACCAAGAAGACTGAGTCTGCACATTCAGACAATGACATTATAAGTAAGCCAGGCTCAGAAGCCTTGGCAAAAGCTTGGCTCCTCTTCTATATCCAGCCTTTCCCCAGCTCATCTGCTTGCTGAGAAAACAAAGTACACAAAGAAGGCTCACTCGCGGTTACTCTCTGTGTGTGGCAATGTCATCCCTCAACAATCCAGGGCTGCCTCTCAGGCTCTACGTTGTTCTTAATACTCTTGTTCTTAATACTCTTGATAGATAGTCTACCATTTCATTTACAGAGTTTTTGTCTGATCATCTGTAGAAAATTTAATCTTCCCAATCAGATGTTGAACTCTGAGAAGTCACGTGGTGTGTTTGTCTTTTTCAACACATGATCTTTAGGACCTGGGTAACCAGCCAGTGTTTGCTCAACAAATGGATGTTTGGAAAATTAGTCAGCACCCCATTAACAAAATTGTAAAGTAAGAGATGATGGTTGCTTGTCTAGGAAGTGGGGTGGAAATGTGTTCAACAAGTAGAAAACTGAAAACTCATGGGCCTTGTGTTGCTAAGAATTAATAACCTTCTGTTTTAAGCCCCAAATATGTTATTTCTTATCCTTTGCCAAAAGAAAGCAACCTCTCTTTATTAAACATTAAGATCAGGGAGGATATTTATTTACCTTTGCCATAATATCTGCATAGGCCATATATAAAAAATCTTCCTCCAGTTTGCTATGGAAAACAAGAAAAGAAGGCATCATTATTGACGTAGAAGACTAGTCACGTGCGGTTAGGCCATCATTGTCTCAAATATTTTTCTTGTTTTCTAACAAGCACCATTAAATGAGCACAAAACTTAGGAAACAGTCCTTCAAACATATTTTACAGTAAGCGCTCAGAGTTCCTAAACATCCATCACTCCTTACCTTCCAGAAGAGATCTTCAAGTCTCAGAAAAGAAATGAGCTATTGATTTGCCTACAAAGGTAATAACTTTAATTTTCTTCCAGCTATAAGGTTTGAGACAAAAACTTTAAATGACATGGGAGCTTTTGATGGCGGAAGTAACACCTATCACTGAATGGGCAGACTCCTCAAGTCATGATGTTACAGTGAGAAACAAACAAAACAACTATAATCTTGACTCTTACAAGTTAATACAAGAGAAAATATGCTTAGCATCTTTTTTGTAAAGATGTATGAAAATGATTAAAATATTAGGGGGAAAAGTTTCCCATGAAGAAGTAACAAAAATGTGTAATGCCATTTTTAGCAGTTTAACATTTCGGCTATAAGAAAGAAATTGCTTATGACAAATACCTGAGCTCTTGACAATGCCAGACAGAGTTGCTCTATGCTTAGGGATGAGATGGTTTCGTTAATTGAGAAATAATAAGAGACAGAGAGGGAAAGAGGGAGAGAGAAACGTGAGAGAGCAGGACAGTGAAAGGATGGACCACATTCACTGAGAGGGAGAAAAGTACTCTGTTATGACATGCAGAGACCACGTGAACTCTTCAGGACTTCTGAGAAGACGCGTGTGGAGATGGTTGACAATTCAATGATCTCCTTGGTTCTGAGAGAGGGTCAAGACCCAAGGAAAGTTAGCTTTCTTTCATAAAAACGTGAAGGAGATAAAGGTTCTAGAATATTCCCAATGCCTCGGTGTACAGAGTTTATTTTTGCAGCCTCCCCAGTAGTGAGGAGAGGCAGAGATATTGTGATTACTGGGACTCAAAGTGCATTTTTAAAGTTTATGTCTATAGAAGTCTTCCCTTTGTGACAAGAAGCAAAGAAAATTGGCAATACCCTTAAAACAGACCTCAGAGTTGAGGAGGTCTTTTGAGTTGAAAGAACAACTTACCCACACCCCTGAAGGGCTTCCTACGACCCACTCAAATGGAGACACCATTTACCTCAGTCTCTAAGCATTTTGACACCAAATTTGGACTTGCATTCTTTTATATTATTTATAAGGGATTTTTATGATACAGAGAGAAGGCATTTCATTGGGGAAAAAACACAGAATCAACTACATCGGCCTATCACAAAGAACTCCTATTGTAGGTGGGGGACACCTGACAAGGAATGGATGAGGCTCAGGAGCTCAGCCGGAGGCCCAAGTCTGCAAACACCATGGTCTCTCCTGACAGGAGCAAGGTGAAACAAACATGGGACAGGAAAGGAGTTCTTTATTTGTCCCGCCCAGCTCCTAGGAACCCTCCAACCATACCATTTCTCCGTCAAAGCCGTGCGGCTGAACAGAAGGATGAGCTGATGCAGGGGGTCAACTCTCTTAGTGCCTTCATCTTCCTCTGGAGGCTCAGCTCCAGGTTTCTGGAAAAGAAAAAAAAAAGTCCAGTGTATGAATGGTGTCACTTAAAAGAGATGTCCACTCAAACTCAGGGGTAAAGCACAAAAGAGAACCCGTCCTTTTTCAGTTTGCATGATGGGTGGTCTATATGAGTGCTGTAATGGATATTATATATGTATACAGTTGTTTATGTATGTGTAACATACGTAAGGTACATACAGAAACAATGTTATATAAATTACATTATATAATATATATGGTATTACATTATCAATTAAAAACCATGTAGCTTAAAACTGCTATTTTGTAATCTGACAAAAAATTATTATGGGCAAGGATGACCTTCAGAGATAAAAATTTCCCACTGTAATCTCACAAGCAGGTTATAACTAACTGAAAGCGTATTTGCTATGCAAGTTTCAGTTTTGGAGAATATTAAATTTATTTTAAAAATTCAGTTTTATATCGTAAGTATGAAATTTGAGTCCACATATATGTAGCTGCTTCCCAGATAAATTATTTTATTTGCCTGTACAAAGATAGGCAAAGAATATAACACAAAGTAATGCTTGACCTAGTTACTAGGTTTTTTTTCTCATATTTTCACTTATTTTAAAACAATTAAATTGTGTGGTGGGAGAGAAACTTTAACAATGAGGAAAATTATTAAGCATTTTTCTTTTCTGGAGAATTACTTAATCCTGACTTTTAATTTGATTGCAACCCTGCCTACACATAATGCTGGACTCTTAGGTGTGAAGTCTCACAAGGGTGAGATGAGAGAGATTCAAACTAAGGATCATTGAAGTCTCTGACTACATTGAAAAAATTTCGTGGAACTCTATGCTCAGAATTTTTTTTTTTGGAAGATGGCTTTTGTCTGCAAACCAGCAACTTTCTATTAGTCTTCAATTTCTTCGGCATTTGATTCCTGAGGTTGGTGGAGTTTGTTGGAAGAGTTTAAAAAGAATAATCCAAGCATGTTTAATTAATAATATATTTGTATTTTTTGTCTAAGATCCCTTAGATAAAAGTAGGAAGCTTTTTCTGCAAATGCTGAGAAGTACCAACTGTGATTTAATAAAAAAAATATGTTTCTTAAGACCAAGATAGTGCATGGATACTCTCTGTTCTTCAATGTTGCATAAAAACTCTTCCCATTGACTGTGTTTCAGCAAGCCCAAACCTTTTTCCACTTAAAACAGCACTGAAAACGTACAGCTAAATCTTCAATCAGTTTATCTTCAAAGTAATGCTCTTCTGTCTCGATCCAGGACTTTTCATATCCTTGAAGAAAGAGATTGACAGCCCGATGCCTAAAAGAGAAACACAATTTCAAACAAAATTTTTATTAAACAAAAGGAAGCTGAAAAAGAGTTCAGTAATACTTTATTACTAGATTTTCTGTATATTAGAAATGAAATAAAATAAAAATTAGCTTCTCATTCTTGATATTTCTCTTCAGAGGTAGCCCTTTGTAATACACACAGCCAGGCTTCTCAAATCACTTATGGACTTGGATTTAAATCCCAACTTGGCCATTTCTGTGCTTTGTAACATTGGTCAAGTTATTCATGTGTACTTTACATGATCAAAATGAAATATAAAGAATGTTGGATAGAATAGTATCTAGAGAAGCTATTTTTACACAAAATGGCTCTTGATAAGCAATGTAATAAATGTTGATAGAAGAACTGGTCTGAATTCAAAGGAACAATAGACACAGGCCTTGAAAGTCTAGAAAAATAGAAGAAAGGAAGCCTTATAATCAAGGATCATCATAAGGAAGCTGCCGAGATGACAGATGGAAGCTATTGATGACACCAGAAGATAAGCTTGGGAATAACCTAAATAGGCTAAGGAGTCCCGTGACAAATTGTAAGACAGGTTTACGAAGGGCCATCTCCTCTAGAAATCACCACAAATTCTAGACATGAGAATTTCCAGCACAGCCGTAGGCAGCAGACAAGCTAGGCCCTGGTAAAAATGATGATTGCAGTAAGGTTCAGACACGGATGTTTCTGAAATGCATGTAGGTCTGTCTCACCAAAGCATCAGCCTGAAGTGGGATAGCAAACTCAGTGGGTCTTAGAGTAATAAGTAGGCTCTAAATCTCATTTTCTAATAATGTGTTTTACATCATGACTCTCCCTTGTGGCCGCCTCTTCTCATGCCCTGTCCTTGCAGCATCATGTCCAGTATAATTATTAGAAAATAAGATTTAGAGGGCTGGGAAGGTGGCTCAGTGGTAGAGCGCTTGCCTTGCATGCCTGAGGCCCTGGGTTCGATTCCTCAGCACCACATAAGCAAAAAGAAAAAAGCCAGAAGTGGCACTGTGGCTCAAGTGGTAGAGTGCTAGCCTTGAGCTGAAGAGCTGAGGGACAGCGCTCAGGCCCAGAGTTCAGGTCCCACGACTGGATCCCCCCCCCAAAAAAGAAAGAAAATAAGATTTAGAGAAGGACTGCACAGGAGAAAAGGTGAATGGGACTTGATGGTTCATATTCCATTTGACCACATGGTGATACCAGAACTAGATCAGAGAGCATCGAAGAAGCACAGAGTTTGAGGCAGAAGCCAATACATTTGAGACTCCACACACAGAACGCAATGGTAAGGGATTTTCCCATCTTAGCAAAAGTGCAAAGCATGATGTTTTGTCATTTATCTTGGTGGAGCATTTTGTTTTGTATAACATTTGTTCAGTTACTCAAGGCCAATGGGCCATTCTCTGTCCAAGGTGCTGAAAAATAGAAACAAACGAAACTAAGGAAAGGAACAGATATAGATGGCTATTGCTTATCCTCAGATGAATGAACAATGATATGCATATCCAAACTACGAATATTGCTTCTGCATTCATATGTGTGTCATCTATACCTGTGAGAGAAGGTGATAGATCTATCAGACTCATTTGCCTTATTTTCCTGTGAGTCAGGATAGCTCCATATATATGTGTGTGTATATATATATATATATATATATATATATATATATATATATATACACACACACACACATATATATGAATGTAGGTATGTATGTATATATAAAATATACATATATACACATATAATACATACATATATATTATATAATACCTATATAATATATATTATATATGCACAAAGTCCCATATGTTCTATATAAGCTCATTCACTTTAACCCCTCTAAATTTTCTAAACAATTTTATGAGTCACTTCTTATAGTCCCAGATGCAAAAAAACCTAACTTGTTAGAATATAGTTAAGCAAATAACCTGACCAATGTAATATAGCATAGAAACCATGATACATGGGCTGAAGTCAAGGCAGTTCGACTCTAAAGCACTCATTCCTAAACACTATGTGTGACAATTACACTGCAGACCTCAGACCTCTGGGAAAAGATCAGCAAGGAAAACAAAGTGAAATATCGTGAAAAGAATCAATACACCTCTTCCATCTTTGCTTGGACTACTACACTGCATTTGGACATATTCCATTTGCTTACTACTGAGAGGAAAATACCCTTAATTTGTTGTGAGCAGTGAAAGCGTTCTTACCTTGGCAGGTTGTACAAGGGAGCCATCCGGAAGCAGGCCACAACCGCCCTTTTCCTCTGCTTAGACAAGAGCTTGTGCCACACGGCTTTTTTAGATCTCTGAGGATGCTCTACCTGGAGTAGAACAGCACAAATAAACACAGATGGTACCCAAGCTACCCTTCAGAACACTGTATCAGACAGCCGCACTGTGGACCTTCAAGTTATTTTGGTCAAGCCTATAACCTAAGTTACCCATAGCCAAATATGAGATTGTTTCAAACATCCCACCATGTCCTTAGTAAAAGTTTCCTATGTTGTAGAGAGTGTGCTTCACAAGCTTTGTCATCTCTAAAATCAGATGTTAAAGCATTCTGTAGAAAGCCACATTTTCTCAGGCTCTTTGGGTTTTCTTTCTTTTCTCGGGGCTCTGTAATTCTTAGGCTGGTGCTTTACCATTGAGCCATGCCTCCAACCATTTTAGGGGCTCCGGTTGATTTTTTTAGAGTCTCATTGTTTTGTTTGTTTTTGCTTGGGCCAGCCTGAACCATGATCCTACTATTTACACTTCCTAACACAGATGGATAGATGGGATGACAGGCACACATACCCACACCCAGCTTCTTCTGTTGAGATGGAGAATCATGATTTTTTTCCCCAGACCATGTCAAACTGCAATCCTCCTGATCTCTGTCTCCTAGTATTAGCTAGGTTTATAGACATGGGCTACTGGCCCCAGCCTCTTTAAACATTTGCCACCTATATGAGGAGTTAACCAATTCTTACAGACCTACATATCCACAGGAACTAATTTCATCATACGTACTACAGTAGCAAGCATGAAGAGTCAATGACAACTCCACTTCTTTGAAGGAGATGACAAGGCTTTTGCACACAATGTATCAGGAGTGAGTACAGGGATTTTATAAGAATGCTCAAATGAACAACTACTGTGTTAGATAAGGACAAATGATGATTTTTATGTTACAGGACATAACAAAAGCAGGTTATCAATTTTAACAGATGGTGACTGGAGCTTGAAAGAGAAAAGAGATTAATGATAATAAGTATTAGAAAGAAAGAGTCCCAACAGGGGAGTCTAAGTTAATTAGTAATTGCTAGGCAATTGAGCACTGTACTTCCCAGACTGTAATAGCGACGGCCAGTATATTTAGATTTCTGGAAGAAATAAAAATGTTACATTAGCCAAAAAAGTAATACTGACTTCATTATCCTTTGCACTAAAGCATCAAAATATGAATACAGTAATACCTTAAAAAAACACAATGTCTGGACTAATTTGCTTAGAACTTTTAACAAAACCTGTAGAACTAAGGAACATTTATTTCTGTGGCCCTCTATCCTCCAGGGAATCAATAAAACACTTAAACAAATGCCCACATCAATTTACTTCTTTTCTTCCTGCTCCTCCTGCCTCTGATTCTTTCTTTCTTTCTTTCTTTCCTTCTTTCCTTCTTTCTTTCTTTCTTTCTTTCTTTCTTTATTTTTATTTTTTTGGTCATGGGGCTTGAACTCTGGGCCTGGGCACTGTCCCTCAGCTCTTCAGCTCAAAGCAAGCACTCTACCACTTGAGCCATGGTGCCACTTCCAGTTTTCTGGTGGTTTATTGGAGATAAGAGATTCACAGCTTTTCCTGCCTGGGCTGGCTTTGAACCACTATCCTCAGATCTCAGCCTCCTGAGTAGCTAGGATTACAGGCGTGAGCCACCAGTGCCCAGATTGATTCCTCACTTATAAATGAAAAAAATGGTATAGAAATATATATAATTTTGTTTACCAGAGACATGCGAGCAGACAAGATGCATGACACGGTCACAGAGACACATGGCATGGCGTAATGCCACCTATGTTTGTATGGGCCTAAATAGGGTCCAGGCTAGGGGCAGGGCCACAGAACACTTCCATTCCCAGGCACTGGACCGACAGGTTCAGCAACCTATCAGCCACGTGAAGGCAGGAGTGGACATTTAGATAATATGAAGTATGAATCAAAATGCCTAACATTGCTATGACAACATATTCGGATATGGCCAAAGGAGATCCAAAGTTAAAATTCATTCTTCAAAACACTTAGGTGGCAAAATTCCCAAGCTGGCATTGGACATTTCACTATATCATGTTCAGTAAGCAATATATGTGCCAGGTGAGCACCATAAGAGAGCCCTGGCCTGGTGACCCATCACTGGAAGGGGAACACAGACCCCACCCTGCGGTGTCATCCCCGTGGGAAGAAGACAGTGTTTGGGATGCACAGACTCTACCTGACACCCAGAAATATGGCTGCCCATTCAGGATGGCTCAAGTATTACTCAAGAGACCTGGAAACTCTTGAGGGGGGAAAAGCAATGAAAACATACAATGGCTCATATGATGACATGGTAGACAACTGCAAAGTTATTATGCAAATGTTTTTCTCATGTGGGTTTTTAATATCCACTTATTACCCTTCCCTAAATGGAATTTATTTCTGATCTTGGAGAGAAATCACTCAAACTATCTCTAATGAAAGGGCAGGTGGAACAAGAAACAAAAGAGAAAACCTTTGAAATATGACACCAGGGAAAGAGAGATTCTCATGTATGCTGTTGCAAATGGAAAGAAAACTGACATAAGCATAAAATGCTTGAAATCAGGCATAACATCCAATTATTTTGCCAGGAAGTTTTAGAGTGCTGTAATTTTAATCATCTGTATGCATTTAGAAATATTTTGAAAAAGATAATAAAACAAAGGACTGGAACCCTTGAAATATATTAGCTATGCAACCACTCATAAGTTTTAAGCTTGGAAAATGTGTTAATTAACTACTAGATACCCTTGAATTACATCTTTATAATTAATAAGTTGAATCTATGTGTCTGGGGGCACAATGTTTAAGAATTCACATAGATCTTCTTTTTGGAAATATGGTATTCAGTTAATGCAAATCTGATTGAATCACCTGTTCAAGATGGAAAAGCACATTTGCGATATCCAGCACTCTCTCCACTGTCCTCTCTGGATCTGAGGCATCCTCGGTCCTGTTTGGCAAGTCTTTATAGAGAGCCATCTGCCACCTGATTGCAGGATCCTCCAGCTGAAGGACAAGGGGGAGGGCATAAAGCACAAGGCACTGATGCAAAGTCGTATATAATCTGCAAGTACTCTTGAAGCCCAACACAGTCTTAAGGTGTCTGCAGATAGAGCTAGGTCAGGTGAGGAAATCCAGGGGTCCAACAGAGAGCCCAGTGACCACTGCTGATATAACACCACTGAACACTGGAAATTTCTAAATTCCTGGTGCTCTTACCATCTGTACAGTAAAGGTTACTTTGTGGGGAAGTGTGGCGCTTGCTTAACCAATGTCCACATGTCCCAGTGTACACCAAAATGTCATGTGATGTACTCTAAATATCTATGATCGGGGAAAAAAAATAAAACCACTATACAATGAAGATGGCAGGTAAGGAAGACCCTTGTGATCGTGAATCTTATTCATCTATTTTCACAGGGTATTGTTATTTTTATTATTATTATCATTAAGTAGTTGTACAAAGGAGTTGTCATTTAACAAAGTGGCTTATGAATGCAATCTATCTTGATCAATAGTAAGAATGTTGAAACCTTATTCATTGTAATAAGGTCTACCTTACCATGAGCTGTAATCTACTTTGTGGTGCTTTGGAATCATTCCCTCAGCACGTGAAGGGGACTCCATGCCTGTCTGAGAGGTGGAGATGAAGGGAGGGTGCAAAGCCCTTCTTTCTTTTCCCCAGTCTCCTAATGTGTTCACTTTCACAGGTGATAATACCAACTCAGGGAATTTAGAACACAGCTCATTCTCACCGCAACAAAGAACTTAATTGTACATCATTCAGGATGCTTTAACTAAAGATCAGTTGTTACCTTTAGAATATTTCTTTTTTACCACTTTGGTTTTGAATTTTTAACACAAAAGAATTTGGAAGCAGGATCATGACTACTTGAAATGTTTTTCAGTGCCTCCATGGAGAAGGAAAATGATCTACAGCATCATTGTAAAGAGAGATGAGACGATTTGTAGACATTAAAAGTGCATTCGGGTAAACTGTGGCTTACCTTGCCTTGTAAGTGAATATTAGTACGGATGATGTCTCGTACTTCATCCTCGGTGTCTTTCTGTCAAGAAATACATGTTAACTAAAAGGAGGCTTAAAACTCATCAACTGTCCCCAGTCACTAGATACCACTCAAAGGTCCTTTGCGATCGTGTATGCCTGACAAGTATCTTTGCTAAGATGCCAACCACAGGCTCGGGGCACTCTCCTTCAGATAACTTCCAACATCGCGGTGCCTGCTTTTATCACACAGGAAGCATATCATCACACAGGAGAATTCATTTCCAACGTATAGCAAGGAGAGGCAGAAGCTCAAGCAGAAGGTAAATCCACCACTTCCCCCCAAAGTGCCTTTAGCCCTAATCCTCAGCCATGTGGGAAAGACGAAGACTATCCACCTGGGAATGAAACAGACCAGAACCCACACACAGGGCTTTGCCTGTGTGCCAGCTGTTTCCCCGCCTCCCGTTCAGACACTCCTGCCTGGGAGGACAGACAGATGGCTGCTGCACTACTGCTCCAAGGTACCCAGGGTAGGGAGCAATGCCCTCTGAGTCTCACAAATATATAACTTCGAAAGAAAACAAGCGACCACTGATGTCAGCCTTATGGAAACAAAAGGAAAAACAAAATGACCAAATTAAATGTCATCAAAGAACATGAAGTCAAGGGAAGGCAAGACCTGGTGGTGGAAGGTGAATGGTCACGACCCCTGGGGTGGAAAGAAGACTTACCAGACTAAACCGGTTTTTGGCCAGTGCTATGAGTTCTTGGTCGCCAGGGGCGCAGATATTGAGGCCAACAGGCAGCAACCGCTTCAGAGCAGCCACGATGAGAGATGTCTGCATGGAGTACCGGTCCCCTTTGCGCTTCATTTTCTTCCTCTCCTGATCAGAAACTGCTGCCTGTGGAACAGAAAACAGCTGGGACGGGTGTCCGGATTCTTACACGCAGGACTAGGAACCTTCTCTGACTCAGTTGTTACTTCTGCCTTCTTGTTTTCTCCTGGTTCTTATTTTTCCGAAAGCAAGCTGTCCTGGAACATTTTTTCCCCTCTTTTGATCTCAGTGTCTTTAAGGTTCTACTCTCTAATTCCAAGGTCATTACAACTCATGAGGACAAGTTCCCAGGTAACTGTCAGAGCCAACAGGCACGCTGTGATGTTACAGAAGCAGAAATGAGGAAGGGCGTGGTAATTTCAGATGTTCTATCATCCTATGTTTTGTTGATGTTGGAGACACTGCCCTTCTCAGGACTAAGACCTTCCAAGGGAAGATCTGATGGACAAATAAACCTCCCAGGGCCCTCATTCCTCCATGTCCACCAAGCCCCCAGGCTCCAAGCAAACTCCGCCCGGCCTGACCATCGCAGAGCCATGCAGCAGACAGCTAGAGATGCCCATGAGGTCCAGGGACCAAGAAAAAGTCTGACTACCCAACCCTGCATCTCCTGCTTAGCCTGCTCCACCTAGAAACCACAAGAAAGTCTGATGCTCGCATTGTGATTTCCTGTGTGAGGGCGGTATGTGGTGCGCCCCTGCTGGTCGCATCTCACCAGCCCCAACTGTAGCCAGTCCTTGGGAATCGGATAGAAACCCGCAGGGACCATGATCATGCTGATCAGATCCCACTTCCAAACATTCCAAATGTAGAAAATACAGCAGAACATGAGAGAGGAGTGGAACAGATGAGCATGGTACCTTGGACATCTTTGATTTCGTGTCGGTAATAAGGAAAGACATGTTGTTGATTTCATTCTGCACAACGAAGTTCTGTTCTTCTCTTTTGAAATTCTACCAAAAAAAAAAGAAGAAGAAGAAGCAAAGGGAATGTCAGTTAAAGCCAAGCAGAGGAGAAGGTCAGGTGATTAGAGGTCACACAGAAGCCAGTAGCTTTTTCTGAGACAGGCACTGACCTGCTATGTAAGACTTAGCGAGAAAGTCAATCGTATGCATTGAGTTTCTGGGTATCTAAAACCTACATGTAGATATGTTTACTTCTGATAAGGCAAAGAAAGATAAAGTCACCAGGGCTAAAAATCACCAGGTAAAAATGATCACTCCAGCACCAACATAGCTGGTGCCCAGAGTCTATCTTCCTAAGATAAGCCCAGGTTTCTCAAGACCACACACCTGTGATGCTAGTATCTATACTGAGAGATATCTTATCTGTGTTATGACATCTCTTTGCCCACTTTGTATTCAAAAATGTATGAAGAATGAACATGTGAATTCACCTTCAACTAACTATTCACAGTGAAATACAATCCATAGTAACAGACCTGTGTTTCAAAAGCCAATGTGAAAAATGCACATCAAACACATAGAATTTTCTTTCCTTGAAGTATCCTTAGACATTCATCTGAAAACCTACTAATTATAATACTTTCCTATTCCAAACTCTTGCCCTCCATATACATTTCAAGAAGCTTCACTGGTGTTTTAGCACTTGAGAGAGTTGGGTGGTGTCAATCTCCCAAGGAAAACAAGTCAGTTTTTCATTTTCTTACATGATTAATTCCTAGGCTTGTCCTATCTGCCCATTAGCCATGATAGGAAGGATAATGCACCAGAGAAAATAAGGATAGAAGAGCCAATCCATCTCTGTTCTATGGAAGGTGAAGATGAATTGATTTCTTCTACAATTAATTTTTCCTCTGAAATACCCTAGCTAGTCTGATGCATCCATTTTAAAGAGGATGCATAGGGTGCGAAATCCTTTTCTGGGCAGGATGATGCTTGCCTGTTCTCTTGGCACATGGGAGGCAGAAGAATCATCATCGGTTCAGGGCCAGTCAGGGATACACTGAGTTCAAGGCCAGCCTGAACTCTACATAGTAAAATGTAGTCAATGGTGGAGCATTTATTTGTCCAGAAAGTGCATCTTTAATAATAACATCATAAGCATTGTTTGTTGTCTACATCTAAGGAGTCTGCTGAACATAGTATCGGACATAGAGGAAATAGAATGGAATAGCTTTTATAATATGTACATTTCCATCTCTACACTGATACTTAGTATCTGTGGAAGATCTAAAATAATTTTCCACAGATAATGAATATTTAAATATATGTGTATATATACATATATATATATATATACACTTACATACATACATATGTGTATACACATATATTTGGTGCTGGGAACTGAATACATTGAAAAACATTGTCACAGCCAGTTACCATGGGGATGGACCCATCAAGCAACAGACTATCCCTCTTCTTACACTTACGTGGGACTTGGACCAGTAGATAAAGACTTCAGCCACCATCCGGAACAGTTCCTCCGCTTCTGGGTTAGGTTCCTTCAGCCATTTTGCCCTGGACCACATAAGTAAAGTGATTGCTCAGTTATCCCTTAGATTTTTTTTTAATTACCATCACCAAAATCACCAAAGTTAAATGTGTTGATCACAGAGCTCATAATAATTTTAGTGTACATTCAAGACAGTTAAAACACATAAACATCATAACTGTCCAATGTCTTTTATCTGCCAAAGGTAGGATACTTCAGAATACAATTTCCAATCTTAAATTTAAAAGGCCTGGTGACAAAAAAAAAATGCATCTACCCTATAAACACATCTATGTTCTAACCATGAACAAGCTCCAGTCCAATCAGTGAAGGAAACAATTCAATAGAGTGTGAAGAGCCAAGTGAGGTTGGGGCTGACTGGGTGTGAGCGACTTGGAGGCCATGTACCTGTTATAGTCCACAAATCGAATCAGGAGAGGGTAGAAGGCATAGAGATCTCTGGCCAGTGTGGTGAACTCATCGAGGATGAGGAGCTCAGCCTCCGACATGTCCCCTCTGGCCTCGGCTTTCAGATGGTCTTCCTCCGAGACCACCATGGCCGCCTTCTTCTTCAGTTTCTCCATTAATGGCAGGAAGTGTGTTTTCAAGAGCTGAGGTTTCACTTTGTTGATGATAGGCTGGGAGAATACTGTTGGGAGACAGACAATAGAAAGCTGCTCTGATAAATGTCCTAAAATGAGGACAGGTTCTAATGGCAGTCGCTATGTAAATGCTCACACCCCTCTCTCCTTCGGGACAGAACCCATGTCACCATGGTTTTCCTAGCCCAGTACCAAATTCACAGCTCATGGTCAAAAGCAATTATTTAATATGAATTGAATGTGGTTAATTTTTTTAAAAAAATCAATAGCTAGTTTCGAGTAGAAAGAAAACGATTAGTTCAATAATTAGTCTTGCAGAGATCAATTATTTTCAGCTAAAGTAAAGTCCAAAATTGGGCTTGGAGACAGCCAATGCTGTATCACACAAGGCCACCACACCTCCATCCTTACTCTGTTATCTTATTTCATAATAGTTCTGGCCATCAGTTGTGCTTCTAAAGCATTTCCCTTAAAAGTAAAACATGTCTATACTGGAAAAACAAATGAGCCATAACCGCCAACCCACATTTTCACAGCACTGGTGTTATTTCTGTGGAGTTTTCTTTGATAAACTATAAACACATATATTATACCCATATCATGTTGAATTTTTTTAAAATCCTTTCATTTTACCCTATAGGATGTCATAAGCATTCCCCAAGGAATGCTGAAATTTCAGTGTTTAAAAATGGCAGGATATTCTGGTCTGAAAATGTCCATCGCCTTCTTAACCACATTGCAGTTGCTGGTTAAAAAAAATCAGTATAAATCTGTAGTGATAGAAGGTAAACTTTACTGTAAAACAGATGACTTCTTGATTATTCCTCATACAAGATGTAAAAACAGTGATTGTTTCAAAAGCTGGCTTTATTTTTATCTTGATCTGAACAATCTTTTGCTTTTTTACTAATTATTACTAATGGAACTTATGCACATCATCCAATCAGGGAAATGTCTACTTGAAAGTAGTAATGAACTACCCAATGTCTGATTACATCCATATTTTTCCCCAAAGAAATAGCATGACAGAAATAATCATTTTTTGAGCACAGAAGAAAATATTAATAAAGATGGGTGGGAAACTTCTAATTTTCTGTCTTCCAAATCATGTGGGGCATAAAACAAATTTATTATTCCATGCTTTCCGATCCTTTCTCTCTCCTTTTTGACAATTATCTTCAAATCATTGCTGAATATACCCTTCCTTCATTCTCATCCCCCTATTGCCCCAATCTGTCCCTCACTTCCCAGTTGGTTTTCCAGGCCGTACCTGCCAACCTCTTCATCCAGGCTCCTTCGTCAATGCCCAGGTTGTTGTAGATGATCTTCAGGATGTTGCCGAGGAGCGTGTTCATGTGCTCGGAGTTGAGGGCCGTGCAGCAGGCCTCGGCCCTCTCGGGGTTGTTCTCAGGCCCGTGCTCCCACCACCGGGACATATAGCTGCACAGCATAGGCAGCACCACCTCCATCACATGAGGCATCTGGGTGTAGCGGATGCCCGATTCAGCCAGCTCCACGATCTCCTCCATGAGCTTCTCCAAGGATGGTATGTTTGGACACACATCTTCCACATTTGCCGGCAAACTAAGAGCTGCAGAAGCATGGATAAAACGGACCCTGTTCATTGGGAAATGAACTGGCACCATGTGGCAGATTGATGTATGCCACAAATACATCACTGGCATGATGAACTTACCGTGACCCCAGACCCTGGCCCTGCATGCAACAGACACGAGCAATGGTCTCATGGTGAGCCTCAGAGCTGGGTGAGCCCTGCTGGCTCTCAACTGACTTCCTTTCCCTCTGCCAGACATTGCAGTCTCTCTTTTCCCCAAGTTCCTACCTTACCCTTGCTCTCATGATGAAGTGCTGGAATTTTCTCCGAATGCACCAGCTTCAGTTTCCTGATTTCAGGCTCCAGATATTCTTAATCAAAAATGCTTTTCTTTTTGCCCCTCATATTGTTTATTCTCAACTGTATTACACATGTTCATCAATCTCTCTCCTACTTCTGCAAATTAAAGCTCCCTGGGGAGAAGAATTGCAGCTTCATGCAGATCACAGCTCCTCTACCTACCACAGCACCTCCCAAAATTACTTCTCAGCTGGCAAAAAGATAAATGGAGTCGTTAACTTTAATTCATTTACTTTGTTATGCAAACGTGTCATAGAAACATGAGCAGGTAAATTATCTGATTTGTATATTTCCTCATCTGTAAAGAAATAACCAATCTGTTTCATTCTTGACTCATGAGAAAAATACTCATGCTTTAGGATCTCGCCTTACTAAGATAATGGTATGTGTTTGTACAGATTAATAATTTAAATTTAACCAGTGTTCATAAACTAATTATAAAAGTGTACTGTGAAAACTACGTTGAAAACTGTGAGTGCCTGTTCAACATTATTTGTCTCTAACTTCATCTACTATATGAAGTCAAAACCGTAAACAGAGCAAATTGAATAATTATGTGAGTCTTTAAAAGATTCCTTCCTACTAAGGAAGATAGGATCACAGTTCGAAGCCAGCCTAGCCAGAGCAGTCTGAGACTCTTATCTCCAAATAACCAGCTCAAAGAAAGAAATAAGCCAGAAGTAGAGATGTGGCTGAAGTGGCAGAGTGCCAGCCTTGAGCAAAAACAAGCAAGAGCATATAACCCTGAGTTCAATGTCATCAGCCAAGAGCTCCTGGTAAAACACCAGATACTCAGAGATGTCCACTGACCGGTACATGTGTGTCTAAGAACAGCCAAAAGTACCAGAGAACTTTATTTAGGGCTATTAGCAAATCACCCAAACACTGTAGACTTTACAAGACTCAGAGAAAACCAAACAGAAGCCAATCCCACAAGAGGGTGTGGGTGGTATGTGTAGGCTCTCAGGGCTGAGATGCCACTGAAGAGAGTGATTTCTGCTTGCTTGTTTATCCAATGCAACATAAATTAGAGTTCATAAACGCCAATCACTGAACTCATCAGTTGTACAAGCCTAGGCTTATCTACCCGGGAGATAATCCACTATTCTTCAGGCACTCTGAAGCCAGAGCACTCTCTATGTCCATTACCTGTGTACTGACAAACGCATGAACACACAGACACACAGACACCGAGAGACACACACCAGGGACAGGTACAAAATTAGAATTCTTGCCTGTCTCTGAGATCTTTCTGCAAATTTTTCAATGACAAAATATGCAATCAAACAAAAAGTCTACCTGGAGTGAAATTATCGTGATGAGTCAGATATGGTTGGTGAGTCTGGAATCCTGAAGGGGTCACACATCCCTACATGTGCTGAGTAAGAACACCATGACCTCTGCTGACTGACTGAAAAACCAGTGCATCAGAAACCAGAGGGACTAACTTGCTCCATATTGGCTGATCATTTTGTCTACAATATTGTCACAATAGTGTTGTCTATGGTCCATAAATATAGAACCAGTTAAACAGATTTTTCTTTCACAAGCATTAGGGGAGTAGCACACAGCACTCTAAAATAATAGAAGTCCCAACAAAGACCATGTGCAGAATCACTGTACAGGACAATGCGTGCGGTGTAATACGATGCAATGCAAAACAACACAACGCAATACACGCCATCTCGTCTCAGCTCATTTCTCACACTGCTTGTGCTCCCGCATTACCTGCTCTCTCGCGCGAGGACTTGGTGTTGTAGATAGAGTAGATGTTGTGCTTGTCCAGATGTGTTTCCAGAAATGCAACCGGGAAGGCACCGGCAAAAGCAGCCAGACAGCCTCCCAGCGCCGAGCGCTGCCTGCAATGTGGGCACACAGTGTTTTATGTCTTCCAAGGGAAGAACTGAAGAAGCTACGTTTAGATTGCTGAATTCAACCTCGAATAAAATCAACCCCCCCAAAAAAATCTGGTTTCCCTATGTAAAACGCATGCATTTTCAAAAGCAAAGTTCCCTCCACTTAATAGAAGCTAAATGGTTTTTTTTAGAAAAGAAAGAAGCTAGAGACAGTACAGCGTTTACATGGAACAGCTACTCATGTGAACTTAAACTTTTAAATTCTTACCTCTCCACATAAATACTCTTGCTGGTTCCCAAAGCATATAAGCTAGTTAGAATCCTGTAGCAAGACACCTGTACATCTTCCACTAAAGAACAAAAGAGAATCTCACTGGAAAAATGATTATTTGGTCCACTACTTAACAAAGTTCTTATTCAAGGCATGCTAACATTATGTTATTTTGGAAACATAAAATAAGAACAGACTTCTAGAATAAAACAAAAAGCCCTTTCAGTCAACATTCTTTGATGAAGAGATTCTAAGTGTGTCACTATTACTCAGAGCATTCTAGAAACATTTTCTTTGTAATTTTTTCAAGGTATGAAAATGAATTTTTTCCAATAATTATACATAAAATAACTGGAGAGAAAGGGCATACAGGTAAATGTTTTACCTTATTCCAAAGGTAAATAAGGGCTACCTCTTTTGGCGTATTGTAAAGTATGTGTGGACCACGTCTTTTCTTCATAAGTAAGTTATTATAACACGTTTCCTCAAATGCGAATAACTAAGAGGGAGCAGTCTGTTTGTTACTACTCAGATGGCCTGACACTCAAAGCAAGGCAGCGTTTGGTTCTAGAAAATCAAGTCAAACCCAATAAAATGCATTGCAAAGTGAGAGTTGTTCTCATACCCACAGGGCTACCAAGTCCCCCTGAACACATCATGACATAAAGGAAGCGGGCATTCCTGTCCCCAGACCTATCACACATACACCCCAGCCACAAGCAGCCCTCACACTGGCTAAAACTGAGATTTCACAGCAAGCAGCTGCTGCAGCCCTTGAATAGCACAGGGGTTTGAACGCAGAATTAAGTCTGCCAAAGAGGCCCAGTTGGTTCCCACATCCGTGTCATCAGCACAGCTTGTGTGTTACCTTTCTACTTCACCTTGGGCACTGCGTGGACATGTCTACTAACTACAGCCAAAATGTCAGCTGACTAAGTCCCCATAAACACTGACTAAATCCACCCAGCACCAATGGCTCATGCCTGTAATCTTAATGACTCAGGAGGCTGAGATCTGAGGGCTGCGGTTCAAAGCCAGTCTGGGCAGGAAAGTCCATGAGACTCTTCTCTTCAATTGACCACTAAAAAGCTAAGGGTCTTATAGTGCCAGCCTTGAGGGAAAAAAAAGTGAAGAGCCAGCCGTGAGGCCTGGGTTGCAAGTCCCAGAACCGGAACAAAATAATGACTAAATCCTGTATAGACAAGGTATCAGGGGCCTACCCCAAACGTAATCTGATCCTTTAGACTTGGGTTTTGTCTCGTATCCTTCCTATTACTTCCTGCTTGTGGAAACCATCTGTTTGAGCCAGAACTGACTAGAAAACACTTAACGTGGTAGGCATACTGTATAGTCCCAGCACATTTGAGAATTTACATGGAAAGAGGCAATAGAGAAAGGTGAGAGTTTGGAAGCGGACCTTTAACCACAGAGAAGCAATTGTCCACAACCTGTCCCTCCCTGGTCCCTTCTGGTAGTCCATGCTCTTAAGAAATCTGTCTCTGTAAGAACAGTTTCTATAATGCACAGGTTTTGAACAAAAAGAAAGGGGAGGGGTTAATATAGCTAGGTGTGTGTGTGTGCGCTTGTGCATGTGTGTGTCATACTTTCCAGATATATTATTTCAAAAGCAAAACTCTGCAGTCTAGGTGTACATACATATCAGATCTTCTCCAAACTGGTGCTGGCCGATATGCTCAAATAAGGAGGACAGCATAGGCAGGAGCGCCACGGTGGTGTAGTTGATGATCTGCGTGACCCCCTTGGGCTGGTTCCGGGTGTGCGTGAACTGGCCCTGCTTGAGGTTCTCTATAGTCTTCTCCAGATCCTCAGCGGCATTGTCCAGGAAAGCTCGAAGAGCACTCTTCACACTGTCCAGGCCCGTCTTCATCACAGTCCTGGGGAGTCGAGGAGGCGGGGCATGGGCCTTCAACAGCAGCCACGGATGCGCCGCCCAAACACAGCCCTCCGTGAGCTTAGCTTTCCCTTACCATGCCGTCACTCCACTATTTATTCTAATACATCCACCCAAACACAGCTTTTTCGTGACACTGCAAGCTCCAGGAATGCTGCTCTAGAAACCGTTTGGGAAAACGGCAGCATCTCTGACTTCATCATGAGCTCAAACTTGATGCTTCCCCAACAGTGGCCCCAAATTTTGAGATACTTATTTTATTACTAGCACAAAGCTGCTTCGGGGCCAGTGCCCTCATCCTAGGCTCCACTGAGTGAGAGTATTTTTGGAGTCAATAAGCATGAAAGACACATTTAACACTGGCTGAACCTCGTCACCCAACACTGCAAAGCATTGGTACTGTCAAGCACAGCAATCCAGGGGCTCCTCACAAAGCCAGTGGAGGCTGCCCTTTGCACAGAAGTGATGTCCTAGGGCCATTATTTTTTTAGTAGAAAACAAAGGTACCCGATGGGGTCCCCTTTCTTTCCATTATAGAAAAGAACTCTAAGAAAGCCCTAAATACAAGAATGGAAAAAAAATCAAATTATGTTCTCAGCAGGCACTTTAGGGATTTCATTCAGACTTTTCCTGGATAGTATATGATACTAAGTGTATGGCTTAAAGGAACAGTGCAATTGCGCTTATCAACTGATGATACTTTTGGTCAGGAGCCTGGATTTCTGGAAATGTTGATAACAGGAAAGAGTAGATGATACACTGACTTAGGAAACAATAGTCCGCCTACATATTCAAGCATGCATTATGCATCCCCAAAGTGAAGATAAACCTCTTCCCACACGTCCACAGAGTAAAATTCACCAACAGTGAGTACAGCCCGGAAGCTCAGAGTCCTTATGGTTACCATTTACTATTTGGTCCTCAGCTGAGACAATCACAATTTTATCCACAGGTATATTCTGAGTTGCTACAGAAATTACTAGAAATTTAAATAACCTACGTATGGTTGCAAAAATAAACTACCCATGTATTGGTCACTTAGAAAAAAGGTTTCCTTTTACTTGTGCTATAATCTTTTTTTTTAATTTTATTTTATTTTATTTGTGAACATACTGTACAGAGGGGTTACAATTGCATGGGCAGGATAATGCGTACATTTCTTACCAAGCATCTTGGTCATGCCACGATTCTCTAGGTTCATAAGAAGGGC